CTCAGTATAACATATTTGACCATACAGATATTTGACCGTACTGCAAATTTACAAATTGTCTAGGCTGGCAAGCATTATTAACATTTAAAGGATGATTAATTTCTAGAAAAGAAGAAAAAAAAAAGCTAAGCACAGCTTAGACATCAACCTACCTTTTTCACCATAAATAAAACATGACTTCATAAAAAAATTTATATGGTACTATTTTCTGTGGTAAAATTTAATTTGGTACTTTCTCAAGCTTCACATATTATTAGAGGTTAAAATATTTTGAATTATTATTTTAAATCATTGACACATTAAATATTACTGTAACTAAAATAGATTATTAATAAAGCAAATTACATAGAAACATATAGTACAAGATATATGTGTTTGATCATTGTTTCGTCCCTGCTAAGAACTGTTTATAATAATTAACTTGTTAGCTTTAAAGTTCATTAATACATAAATACACATTCAACTTTACCAACACAAAATAGACTTGGAAAAAAAGTACATATATGGTGGCTCATGAAATAATTTTTTAAATTCTACTTTTTTCTGCAAAGACTCACTAAAAATACTGTTCCCTTTTACACACAGTAAGCTACAATGATCCTGTTTTCTATCTCTGTCATTGTGACACATTTGCTAAGTACGGTTTAATTAACATAAGATGCACTTAAAATATTTGAGCATCGCAATCACCTTCTCAACTCCCAATCCATTATGGCTTGGGTGACGTCCCTCCCAAGGACAGATCTCCTAGTGTGGGTCGTACACTGAACCATGATACTGTTTTACGGCCAGTCAGGATGAGTCCCAGGTGTTCATGTTATCACTGGATTTTTGTTCTCTGATCCCTCTCTTTTCCCTTGCTCCCAACCACATCATTAGAACAAAAAAGTCTTTTATCTTCATGCAACACTACATTAGTTAACAGCAAAGAACTAGCCATCTGCTTTCACTACTTCTCTTTCCTTCTGCCAGGTCTCATTGCATTATAGATAAGGATTTTATGGTTATACAGGAAGGAGACACAATCATGGAAAACAGAAAAATAGAAATACAGAGGTACACAGAGACATAAAATATGGACAGATAAACACAGAACCAGAGACATTTCTTAAGTTTAAAGTTGTATATATATAAATATACACAAAATGTGGATATACTAATTTAAGTTTGTTTTCCTATAAAAAAATACTGGCCAGACTATCTAGGATGATGTGGGAGATTACTCAACTAATGTAAATGTTATTCAGAATTAATTATTTAGCTTAGTTTCTAATTTTACCCATGCAGGAATCATGCAAAAATGCATCACTGACAATTACATACTACTACCACTGACAATAGAGAATTATATACTATAATATACTGACAATTATATATTGTCTTTATATAAGTTTGACAATAATTTTGTTTATATACTAGTATTAAAATTTTCTGGCAAAACCAAAATCCTGTGGTTCTAGTAGCAAAAGACTTCAATTCTCAGGGTAAGAATAAGTATAATTGTATATCTTCCTTATCTAATACTGAGAGGTTTAGCTCTATTTCAAAGTAATTAGGGGTAGGGAAATAAAACAGAAAGATTTACTGAGTGACAAGCACTATGTTAGGAACTATATGTATAACATTCATTTCTTAAAATAACCCCACATGGAGTAAGTGTTTATTCTTACAGATGAAAAGCAGGCCTACAAATTTCTAAATTACTATTAGCTTGAAGGAAGAATTAAAAATCCCTTGTTCATTACCATAGCTTTAGCAGCTAGCTAGCACAGTCATCTGAATCACAGTCTATGATAAATGTTATATGTTAACTAATTTACCAAGTAACTGTTACAGAATTTGTAGGCAGTAGAACTGAAATTTTATCTCAGATCTGTTAAGACCAGATAGGTCTATGCCCAGTCGGTCTATGCCCAGAACATGGAAGAGGCAGAAATCTACCTTTTTACCTCATCTGTTCACAAGAACCAGGAGAGCTGATGTGGAATTTTCTACAGGGAAGAATGGCTTTAACAGGAACTGATTATTTACTGGCAGTAAGACCAGAGCTCAAGAAGATAAATCCTTCATTTTAAGACCTCTCTGGGTCTCACGTGCAACTTTAGTCAAGTTGTTTGGTCACTTGGTACCCCAATACTTTCACTACAAAAAGGTAATGGTAATGATGATAATAACAAGTAATATTAGACCCATGAGAATGCTGGGATAATTAATTGTATCAATACATTTAAAGTTTATGGCCATTGAATCACTATGTCCTTGTCACTCAGTCATGTCCAACTCTTTGCGACCCCATGGACTGTAACATGCCAGGCTCCACTGTCCTTGGAATTCTTCAGGCAAGAACACTGGAGTGGGTAGACATTCCCTTCTCCAGGTCATCTCCTCGATCTAGGGGTCGAACCCCAGTCCCCTGCATTGCAGGCGGATTCTTTACTGTCTGAGCTACCAGGGAAGTAGTCATCATTATTATTTACTCTGGGGAAAAGGCCAGAAATTCGGGTCATATCCAGAAAAGTTAATTCTCTCTCATCAGGAGAACAAATATAGCTAGGCATCACATCAACAGTAGGCAAGGACATGCTATCCTGGGATGTTTTAGAAAAAAGAATACTTCTATTACTAAGACATCTATTTTATTTCAGCCCTCTCAGGTATCATGCTATATGGTATTCCTTCAAGCCAGAACTGATGGGGACTCCAAAAATGCTTAATTCTATTAGATTTCTGTACTGATCAAAGGCACACACACTTCCTGTTTATGAGCAAGCTGAACTCCAAAAGTCTACTTGCATGGAGCCCTTCATTTACAAGTCTGAAGTGGCATCACAAGGCAATGGAGAAAGCCTTCCATAGAAGGCAGCCAAAACTGACTTGCATTTTCTCTGGTGAAAAATTTTAAAATACTTACACAAGGTAATAAGAATAAAGTTATAAGTGGAAAGTTTCTATATTGTTTAGCCTGGTATGATATAAAGTAGTTCACAGAAAATGAAAACATTAGTTTTTTAGTCAAAATATTTTATATAGTTTTATATACCAGGGTCAGTATTCTCTGTGCTTTATTAGTTTTTAAAAACTTATTAGAGTTACTTGAAGAGATTATATGTGTGTTTATCTGTGCTTGTTCAATACAGGTCTCAACTCAAGAATCATGGTGTAAGGTTCAGTGATCTTTTGGACCCATGAGATACATAGTAGGTGTCAGGTTTAGGAGACCAGAAACTGCACCTCTGAAAAGAAAGTCTTTCTTACAATGTGTATTTCTGCTATTTTTAACCTACCTTGCTCTAACAGTACAACTTTAGACTGACTTTGTAAACATGAACTGTACATATACTTAGAGTTTTTTTTGTTTTTTTTTTCCCTGAATATCAGTATCAAATGAAGAAGCTCTCAGGGTAAGCTAATTCTTAGATGTTACAATTTACTGGAACAAAAATACACTGGAAGGGTAGATAGTATGATGAAGGAAATTAACATGTTCAGTCACTTAATTATCAGCCATGTTCTGTGCTAAATTTTTTACATATCCTATTTATTTAATCTTCAAATAACCTTATGAGTGAGACATTTTTATAATATCAAAAAGGCTAAGCAGAATCATCTTTAGGTACACTGACAATTAGAAAAGCATTTGTTTAAAGGAACATAATTCCTATACTGTCCCATATCACAAAATATTATACATGCTCAAGTATGTGAATGTACAAGTGTCACATCAGTATAAGAATTAAGGAAAAAAACTGAAATATTTAACAAATTTACATTGTTTAAAATGAGATGGTTGTATGATTTTACTTTTATTTTTTCAAAAAAGTACTAATCTTATAGCAATTTGTTAGAAATAAAGTTGTGAAAGCAGGGGAACTTTAGGGAAAATGTCAAAAGACAAGTGATTTTATTCTTTTTTTTATACTGACAGTAGAATGCAATTCATGTTAAAACATATGAATGAGTCAAATTAAGAACTGCATCACTGACAAAGTATAGTAGATTTCTATAGTCAATTAAAAAGCTAAAGTGAGCCAAGGAGGCTAAAAAGTCATTTCAGCTGCCTGCTAAACTATAACACTCTGAGACCTCCTAAGCAGCGGCAAGTGCAGCTCTGTCCTTTTATCTTTGCTATAATTATCATTAACATATGTAACAGTGACTGTATTATGCCATTTTCATCTAAGGGCAAAACCAATGATAACCAATAGAACACAATACATTGGGAAAAAGTAACATATGTATAGACTTTAATCTGGCAATTTTTAGAGGGATTAAATAAATATTATACTAAGTGGTACAGAATTTGTTTTGCTTATTTATTGACTAATTAGATGTTTTATAAAAATTTGCAAAGGAAGATAGATCATTTCTTACCTATCATACTCATACTATAAGTACCAAGATGTCTAAATGAACAGTGTATACAGTCTTTTATGAGTATATTAGCATGTTTCAGGAAAAATACATTTTTGCTTATGTTGGTACTCTTTTGATAATGCTTTTTGTCTCTTTTCTCACTAAAAGGGATATCCCAATTCTGTCTTAATGAGAGGTTTCAATTTAATTTTGTGTGTTAAGGATTGAGCAGGGTACTAAACACTCAGAAATAAATAATAACTGGGTTCAGGAAAGCAGAGTTTGGGAGTATTTTCTTTCAAAAGGACATTTACTATATTAAAAGCGATTTTACTTAGCAAAATAGGTCAATTAAATTCATAATAAATGATAGTTAATAATTCAAATGATACTCCCTAAGGGTGATAAAAATAATAAAACATGAAATTTAAAAAAAATAGCTTGGTTAGATACACATTTTAAATGGTATTTTAAGAAATAAAACTAAACATTCTATTTATTGCAGCTTAAATTACATTACTTACAGTTATTATTACATGGTAGACAAAAACTGCAAAATCATAGCACAAAAATTTAAAAGAAAGGATCTAATGTAAATTACTGAGACAGCATTAAGTGTCACAGAAAAATAGAATTAAAAGTCTTACCATGAATTATCGGTGCTAAGAGCATCATGAAGACTAGTAGCTGTGATGGCCACATGGTCGTGAGCTCGGCAGTGAGGGTGCCTCGGAAGTGAGTGCTCTAAACTTAAAATAAGTGTCTTTCTGATTCTTTTTCTGTATCCCAAGATGGATGATTAAAAACAAAACAGCTCAAAAAGAAATATTCTTCAAAACAGAAACACCAATACCCAATTCAGACTCCTGCAAACAAGAAAAAAAAAAATGTTATCAAATATAGGTTTTATCACTTCCCTGAAAGTTTCCTTGTTGACAAGAACATCTGTATACCTCCTCCCTTCATCATTGTAATGAATACACACATCATATATAAAAATAAGTAAGTAACCTAAAAGACATTATTAACTTATGTATTACCACAGTGTTTATTTCCCAACCCCCAAACTTACTGAAACAAGTAATTCAGTCTCACTGGACAAATTCATATAAATAAACTGTACTCATTAGTATAACAATTAATTTGTATAATTCATCAATAGGTTTAAATACATTTGGTGTTTACTCAGAGTAAATATTATCCACAAATATAATTTTTACTAATAATAGAAAAGTTAAAAAAAAATCATTCATTATGATTACTATATGTGTAAACAAAACAACTAAATGTATGAGTCTTGCTTTCATTCCAGACCCTGAGAATACTTTAGAAATTATTCTACATTTAAACTATATTATTTTTCTAGTTATTTTTGTAATTTGTGAGTATAATTTATATTAATTAATTATGCCCAATCATAATCAATTCATTTAACAGAAGTTTACTGAGTGTCCACTAAATTACAAAGTACTGTGCTAAGAAAATAGGGCAAAATATTGAATAAAACATGCAACCTATCTTCCAGGATCCTACAACTCAAAATAAGGAATTTTGCTTAAAAGTGTTAAATACATATAGAAGACACTAAATATTTTAAGCATTATAAAGTTATTTTACTGAACCAAACTGATACAGCTGCCCTCTCTTTAAAGTTTGCACATATATATCTTAGAAAGTAAAAGTATTGAAGGTACATGACCTCAATTTTGAAGATGTTGTTTTTCACAGTGAGCATCTTTAAAACTGATCAACCAAGTGCTAACTGGGTCTTCCTTTTCTTTCCTCTCTCTTTCCCTCTATTCAGGCAACTATTGACAGTATATATTTCACTATTGTGAAATAGTGTGAAATATATTTCACATTTTGAGTATAAATCTAAACTTTTTTTTTCTGGAAAGAAATATTCAAAGTAGAGATAGTTTACTGAGGACTATAATAACCTTCATTCTATCAAAACACGTTGGAAAATATTTCTGAAGTGTTTGCATTCATTATAAGGCAAAATCACACAGATTTATCTGAATTTCTGGCACTACTATTCACAGTATGTAGTTAAGAGCACAGCTTCTGAAGCAAGACCATCTAATTTGAATTATTAGCTCTACTAGTAGGCTTCCCTGGTGCCTCAGACAGTAAAGAATCTGCCTGCAATTCAGGAGACCCAGGTTCAATCCTTGGGTTGGGATGACCCTCTAGAGAAGGGAATGGCAACCCACTCCAGTATTCTTGCCTGGAGAATTCCATGAACAGAGGAGCCTGGTGGACTACAGTCCATGTGGTTGTAAAGAGTCAGACATGACTGAGCAACTAACATACACACAACTCTACTAGTACTAAGACATTGGATAAGTCATTTAAGCATTCAGTTCCAAGGTTTCCTGTCTGTTAATGGTGGGGAAGCAATGTTACTTAATTCATATGGTTACATGAACATTAAATAGGTTAAAATTTGTCATATATTATATGCAATACATAAAAATATGTATTGTTCAGAACAATAAGTATGAAAGTGCTGTATATCTTAACAATTCTTATACATCTCATGAATTTTCAATTTTATCCTACATATACTTTTTATTGTGGTTGTGTAAGAAGCAAGATCATTTGAAAATTCAAGCAAAAATATTTACTGAGCCACTATTATACAGATAGGCTTGGAATAAACTAAATCTGGAAACAACAGATATAATAATTTTCTTTCTAAACTCACAGACATGATAGAAAAACTAAGCTCATAATAAACACTCTCACAACATTTTACTTTTGCAAACAGAGAAAACACTGACAAAACAAAATGAGGTTGAGATAAATAATGTGAAAAGGATTTCTGTGCAACATTTTGCTTGTTTTTCTTATCAACACTTTGACTTGTAAGAAAACATTTAGAACTTATATTTAATTGTTGTGTCACAAGTATATAACTTTCTGAAAATAAATTTGAAAGCAGGTACTAATTTAAAATAGACTTCTTTTACATGCATGTGATTATGGATACTTAAATAAGGATATGTAAATTGACTGACACATTAACAAGTAAACAATCCCCCCCAACATTCAATTACCTTTTCTTCCCCTCTCAACTGTAGCATCGAGAGACATGTATGTGTACACAGACAAATACACACAAACACATGCATACACACATATATGTAGAAGATAAATATACACAGTACTATTTTAATAGCAACTCATCTAGGTGAGTTATTTATTCACTATTTAACAAATATATACCAAATATCTACCATGGTGGATACTACTGAGAATGCAACTAACGTAGAAAAATTGTTCCCACAACTTCTCCTGTAACAGGAGCATCATAATAAATGAAGTCTCAATATAAAGAGAAGAATTAATATTTTTAGTTCTTATCATATGAATACTTTTCTAGGTATTACACAATTATATGATTAAATTATCCATACAGATCTATCATGCAGATAATATTGTCTCATGTCTACTGAGAAGGAAAATCAGACATGTTACTGAGAAGAATTTCAAACTGAGTGTCTGCCTCCAATATCAGTGCTCTTTCTTCTCTCTATGGTAGAAATAAACAAGATGTATGGGGCTTCCCTTGTAGCTCAGTTGGTAAAGAATCTGCCTGCAGTGCAGGAAACCTGGGTTCAATCCCTGGGTTGGGAAGATCCCCTGGAGAAAGAAATGGCAACCCACTCCAGTAAACTTGCCTGGAAAATCTTATGGACAAGAGGAGTCTGGTGGGCTGCAGTCCATGGGGTCCCAAAGAGTCGGGCACGACTGAGCGACTAACACTTACTTACTTTTGAGCATAATCAGGGGTGTTACTTGTGAAAAGGGATAGACAAAATATAGCAAGTTTTCAAGGAAAGACTTAGGCTTTGCTTAAACATGTTACCCAATTGTGCTGAGTAGAGAACAAAGGAACAGCATGGATATATGAAGTAGGTCTGGAGGGACAAACAGAAAGAAGATAGACATGCTTAAAAAGGAAACCCTTTGAAAGAATCAAAAAATTATTTCCATAGTGAAATATGAGTATCACAAATATGAAGTAAATTAAGTCTAGTTTTAGTGAAAACCAGCAGTTTATTTCATGTATTTTCAACTTGATGAAGGAACAGGAGAAAATGATAGAAAGTATAAGAAAGTGATTATCTATAATGACTTATTTTAGGATATCGTGCCAGGGCATAAAACCATGTGTACTAAGATTACTTTGAACTTGATTTATGCATAAACATTTGTTTTCAAGATTATAGTGTATCCATTGACTGTTTACTATGTAAATACCTGTGTGTAAACAGAGGTAAGGAAAGGAATTTAGATGAATGGAAGCTATTATTTGAGGACAGTGACATGTTTTCACACTCTAGCCTCACCATCCATGGACCTTTCACTCACAGTCTCGAAATAATATGCTAATTTGGAGGTACAAATAATAAAATTGAAATTTTAATAGATAATGTTCCAGACCAGAGTGTTAATAATCTACAGAAAAATAAGCCATTACACTTTCAATACTAACATTAAAAAAAAGAAAACTTTTTGGAATGATTTTTTTTCCAATTACATATTTTTATTAGCCAAACCAGTCACTTTTCATATAAAGTGGATTTTTACTCAAATCATTTTGGAAACACAGCTCTTCAAAAAACACATAAAGAAGAAAAACCAAGAAACGACATAAGACTCATTAAATCACATCTGAACAAAATGATTGCTCAAAAAAATTTATTAATAATCAAAAGAATTTGACAAGTCAAGTTCAACATATATTTCCAACTCTAAAGAATTTCTTTAAACTTTTCCATGTACAAAGCTCTATGTTAATACTATGGGTCAAATAAGGAGAATGTGGCTGAAAGTCTAAAATATCACCATTTTAAAACAACTTTCAGTTAAATATGGATGCCAGAAGGTATACTCACCAATAATTTAAAGTGCTGTGCAAAATGTGATATGTGTTAAGTGAGATATTCTAGAAACATGTGCAACTACACACACAATTTGCCAGATTGTCTTTTGAAAGAAACAGCAAAGGACTTAAAAACATGCTGACTGAACACTCTGGTGCTAGGCAAGTTTACAAAGCTCTCTGAATTTCAGTTTCTTCAACTGCATAAGAGAAAAATATACACCTGTATTTTGTTGAGAAGATTAGCAATACCATAAATTTCTGGGGCTTCCCAGGTGGCACTACTGGTAAAGAACCCACATGCAAATGCAGGAGACAGGAGACGCAGTTTCAATCCCTGGGTTGGGAAGATCCCCGGAGGAGGGTAGCACAGCCCACTCCAGCATTCTTACCTGGAGAATCCCCATGGACAGAGAAGTCTGGGCGGCTATGGTCAATAGTGTCCACAGAGTCAGACTGAAGCAACTTAACGCACACACTGCATGATGTAGAGATGTCATGTCATCATGCGTGTCTACCAGGACTTGTCTGTCATTCACTGATTCCTTTGTTTCCTTAATTTCTTCAAAACTGAGGAACAGACCATCTGCTTGACTCTCACACCTCTCATTTACATATTTAGGAAAATCATACACAGTCTCCTTGAGAAAGATGCACACTGTCCTTAAGAAAGCTAGGGATGAATAAAGGATACTAAAACAATGTAAGATTTTATTTTTTTAAAAGAATTTTCAGTATGTTCTTCTTGTTTGAAATACACTGTGTTACTTAGGATATTAATTTCCAGTAATATAACATATTAAGTTACTTTAAAAACAAGTTGCTTTAAAAATTACTACTGAAAGATAGTTTCTAACTTATATCGAAGATTATCAGAAGACAGCACACAGTTTTGCCTGTTATGGTATGAAAAAAATCTGGAGTGAGTGAAAGTCACTCAGTCAGGAAGGACTCTTTGCAATCCCATGGACT